GTTAATGCTTCGCCCTTTTTGAATTGAATGAGAACAAATTGAAATGTGACACATGTTTCTACTCATGACCATTCGTCTATGAATTTAAATTGGATCAAGTTTGGAACATTTCTATGTCCAACTAGGTAAAGCGAACTCGTACATGGTACTCCTCTTCTAGCCACCCGATCTGATTAGATGACATGGATGACTCAAATACAATATCACGTTTAAATATTTTTTTATTTTTAATTTATCTACACCAAATTTAGGGTGTGCCATCTTGTCCACATAAAGTATAGAAAAATATTTTTGACAAAATTATCGCCGACATCATCATTAAAGCCGTTTCTCAATTATTTGGAGTCAGCTACACGAATATTGGTTGGCCATTATGCTTCATTAAGGTCTATAACCTTAGTGAAGCCATAAGTTTTCAAATCTTTTTTTACTACTTGTAATCATGTCCTTTTAGACTATCCCTTGTCTTTTTTAAGCCTTCCACTAGAACGAATTCGCACCTTCTAACAAGTGTTATATTGGATCTGTCACACATGTAGTCAGCCCACCTAAATCTATTTTTTCTCATCTTATCGTCTATTGGTGTCAAACCTAAATTCTCTCAAATATATTGATCTCGAATTGTATCCATTCTTTTCATGTCACTCATCTATCTCAACATCATCATCTCTGCGATACTTATTATATGGCTATGTTGTTTCTTGACCGTCCAACATTCTGCCCAATAAAGTAAAGATGGTATCACAAAATGTCAAAAGTAATTTAGTAACTTTATTTTATAAAAAATAACTCTTTATATTTGGTCATCAATCCATAGAAAAGATGGATTTGTTGAAGTTGATTGTAGTCGCTCATAGTTCAAACGCAATCATACAATAACATTTTCCGTTTAAATATGCTCACTTAAGGGAAAAAAAAAAAACCAAGGAATCCAAATATGTCCATGAAGAACAACAATTAAAAAATATTGGTAATAGTCATATCAAAATCGAATTTATTATTCTTTACTTTCAAGTCACAAATTTAAATGTGATTATTTATTTTCCATGATTAAATTCAAGCTTTTTGGAAAACATTACTCTTGGGGTCAAAATCCTCACAAAGTCAAGGTAGTCAAAAGATTCTAATTAGTATTCGATGTTTTAGTTTTAAATTTTGAAAAATGCTCAAATTACCAATAAAAGGGCTGAGAGCCTCAAAAAAAAAAAATTGGTATTTTAATAGTTTGATTTACCCTAAACAAGCTGAGGTATTCTTATTATTTAGTGGGGCTCCTAAACAATAAGTATACTTATTATTTCGTGGGGCTTCTTATGCATGTCAAATTACCAAAATGCCCCAAAGGGTATTCATGTCATTTTGTTGGGGCCTCTCACATGGATTAAATCTCTCATGCCTTAACATGTTCACAAATCCAAACAGTCAATAGAGCAGTATGGGCATTTTTAAGAAGGGTGAGGTTTGCATAAGGGTGAGGTTTGCATAAGGCTGAAGCCTAAACTTTTAAACTAAGGCGCTTTCAAATAGTGTCATTTCAGTATCTAAAATCTTTTTAATGACTTAAAAATTTATTTTCATTTCTAATTATAAAATTTGAATATTAAAAAATAGTGTACATCAAACAAACACTTGAAATTCTTGAAAATTAAAAGTCTAGATAATGCATTACTAATGGATTCTTTACAAGACTCAAAAGTCTTCTTCTTCTTTTTTCGTTCATGCATTTCATGGTCGATATGATCCGATTTGAGGGTTTTTCAACAACAAAATAACTTCTTCTAATAGGATTTTGAGGTGCGCATTGTTTTGGGCCTCAACCTTATATAATTTTTTTTTTCCTTTTTCTTGAATAGCGTTCAGCCACACAAGTGTAATGAAAACTAAAAAATATTACCTAATATTGATTGAGGCGTGTTCAGATACACAAGTGTAATGAAAACGAAAAAATATCACCTAATATTGATTGAGGCATTTTGACCTTACAATGATGTGTTGTCAGCCCTTAAATGATATTTTCCCTAAAAATTTCTCTAAAAACATCCCCATTTATACCAGAAAAAGAAAAGCTAACTCCATAGAGAAATAGGAAATTATTTCATCCCCATTTATACCCGAACAAGAAAAGCTAACTCCATAAGTCTAAAAAATCTAACTCCATGAGTTTTAAAAGATCTTTATGACAGCCTGAATTTATTTTATCTCTACTTATAAAATGTAAAGCTTCAAAAATAGTATATATCAAATAGATATATAAACACTTAAAAATCTTAAAAATAGACCGTCAGATAATAATGAATTACAAAATACACTATTTTCAAGACTTAAAATCCATATATTTTTACATCTATGCATCTCAAAGTCGAGGTGATCGAATTTGAGGGTTTTTTGGCTTCGAAACAACTTATTCTAATGAATTTTAAAGATGGGACTTTAATTTGAAGGTTTTGGACTTCAACCTTACATTACTTCAAAGTTGATGTCATACTCTGAGATCTTAGGCAGAGAGAGAGAGAGAGAGAGTTCATGAACCGGGATCGGTAGGATGAATAGGCCATTGGAGAAACTGTCAGGGTCAACGAGTCACTTAAATCGACAATCCAGCCAAGAGAACCAGCCCATAAAATGAATGAGAACAAAACAAAACAAAAAAAAAAAAAATGTGGTGCAGTCGGTTTCATAACAAAACCGACCGACCTGCCAATTCTATCAAAATAACGGGCTGGTTCTTAAGCAGACTTTGTCTAGTTCCAAATAGGTTAAGGGAACCGAGATGGGCCTATCCCGGACCTACCAGGCGTGTTCTAAAAACATTGGTGCAAACAAAAGACATGTTCATTAACAAGTATAACCAAAAAGTCAATTTTTGCAATAACTAAAAATAGATGGACTGTGCACGACAGGAATAGAATTTGTAGTCGCTGCTCATTACGGAAATCCAGGCCTTTGTCCAATCATAGCCCCTAGATCATGCAAAAAAGTGTGTTTCTCAAGGATGCAATGCTCAAACGCCAATTGACATTCTCTCTCTCCAGCTACCATATAAAGTTTAACATGTCTGATTTTGTCTTTGAAATATGGAGGAAAACAAACTCATTTGATCAGTGGACTGCACATATGCAGAAGAAAGTAACATCTGAAAAATAAAACCACTTCAAGAATCTGTCTTAGGGTCTTCGCTGTTCATACATGCACAACCTTAATACGCATTTCGTCATCATACATTGAGGACTATAAATGATGCATCTAAAGACAGCAAAAGATCAACCACACACGCCCTAAGTTGCAGCTATTACCCCATAGCTTACTATCCCAAAATTAATCCATTATCTTTCATGGAGTTTCCCCTACATACACTAAAGGACATAGCATAAGATGAGGAATAACAATTTTTATGACAAAAAAGACGAGAAATAGAGAAGGAACTTGAGCCATAGAACAATTTTTATAACCAGAAAAAGCACATTACAGACACTAGAACAAAAGATGAGAGAGAGAGAGAGAGAGAGACCAAGCACATGCTATATAGCTAACAAAGATGAATAAACAACTTGTTTCATGGTATAAACACACTGAGGCACCATGTTCAAGTAATCAAGGATTAAAAGGGATTTCAAAAGAGTCATTCATAGAAAGGCAATGCAGGTGTTTATGAGTATTTTTTGCAGTGTAATGTTCCAGAGCTCTCTTACATCCTATTGGCAACGCAATGCGGGTGTTCAAACTTCAAAGCATTCGATTCTGATAAGTAATAACATTGGATAACTGGAGTTTTGGAACACGACATAGGTATCAATCAAAAAGAAAAAACAAATCTCTGGAATAAGAAAAATAATTGAAATCACATCAAAAAGAAAGATAATCCATTCCAAATACCTAAAGCATGCTTAACACCAGGAAACAAAAGTCAGATAAGCCACCAGTAAAGCTAAAAGCAAGCACTCAAACATGGTTTTGAAGTTCAGGAATTCGGAATGGTAAGGACTAAAAATAGAAATAAAAAAAAATCAATATACTTGAAGTGCAGGAGCAGTAACAGAATGAATCAACAAATTTCACCAAAATCTATATTCTTGCATTGGAATCTCAATAGTTTTTTGTGGTATTTGTATGGAGATTAAATATTCAAATTTAATCCTATTTTGGGAAAAGAATGAATAAACCCTATTTATTCTCCAGCACAACTAACATACTCAAACTTTTCAAGTTGAACATTAAGGGATGAAGGCTAAAGTCCCACAAGGACATTAGATTTTTAGCTTAGTGTACAAGTGAATATTTTATCTGTAAGATTTGATTTTTGCATTTTTTTTTTTAGAGGAAGTATATCACTATCCATATGATCACAGAGAGATATTGGTCATAAGGGTCATTGCTGCCAAATCAATGATGTATGGTGATGGTGATGGTGATGGAGAGACAGCAGGACCTATCACTTGGGTCATGTCATGTTTTGGTGGGTCTCACTTCTCTCTCCATCACTGTCCATCCTTTGATTAGATGGCAATGATACTAATGACCATGCTCTCACAATCGTCAAAGGGATCATAACATGCTTTCCTATTTTGCACAACACACTAATAAAAAAAAACATGCACATTTAGATATACAATTGTGTGCGCACATGAATGGAAATATACATGTTTGTATGTAGGAACATGCACATATGCATGCATGTATATGGATGTATGTGCATGTTGGTCTGATAAGAACATACATGCTGGTGAACACATAGACATACATAACATACAATACAGCTATACAATATGCAGACCTAATATATGTTGGTAAATGTTATCTTCTGCAAAAGAAACCTGGCACGCACAAATTGCCTGCGAATTTGTTAATCAGAATCAAACCTAGTCTACCGATTGAAGCTATACCATCATAATAATTCAAAATTTTGTCCACAAACATTGACCTAACAAAGAATGCAAGCCGCTATTCCATCATAATAATTAAAACAGAATCGAAGAACATGATTCTACGTCCACAAATAGTGATTGAACAAATAATGCAACCCATAATTAGATGAGAAACGCATGCACATAAGCGGAAATTCTCCTTTACATTGTAATAATCCAAATAAATAGAAACAAACATAACCAACTAAAATGAAGGGAAAAAAAGAAAAAAGAAAAAAAAAGGAAAAGAAAAGAAGAGAGAGATAAGAGTCAGATTTAGAAATTTTAGACCCTTCATCACAGAATCGATCAAGCAACACGATCTGCATAGGGCCTAAAACGCTGCTCCTGTCCCCTCTGGTTTTGCCTCGCTGCCCCACCATAACCATTCGAATTCTCCTCAAATTTCCCACCATCAACCCTAGGGCTAGCACCTTGATTATGATTACCATTTCCATGAGCCATCATCCCACCATAACCACCCATGCCGACATAACCACCCGCTTTAACATACCCATGATGCCCACCATAGCCCCCCATGGCATCACCCCCATAACCATAAACAGCATTAGTAAAGGGAGCAGGGCATTGCCTTGGCCCCACAATAGTAGCACCATTCCATGGACTTCTAGGGGGTCCAACAGGGGGGCCATTAGCAAACCCAGGCCCATAAGGGGCTTGAGGAATACCACCGTAACCTCCTATAGCATAATATGCAGGGTAACCACCCCTAGTGTTAAGGTATGTAGACACATGACCATAACCAGGGTAAACTCCATATCTAGGGGTATAAGATGGGTAAACCCCAATTGGGGCATTGTTATTAAAGCTACTATACATCGGGCTCCTACTTTGACCTCTGTTCTGGCTTTGGCTTCCGTCTTTCGGAACTGCTCTCTTAACCTCGACTCGTTTATTGTTTAAGTGATGAAAACTCTCTTGCATAACATTTTCAACTGCGTCTTCGGAATCGAATGTTATGAAACCGAATCCTCGAGGCCTATGAGTCGCTGAATCATACATGACAACTACATCTGTGATCCTACCAAATTTCTCAAAGTAACTCCTGAATTCGTTCTCTGTTAAATTAGCAGATAAACCCCCTACAAAAATCTTCTTGGTCCTAAACTGAGATGTACTATTAGTGGTGCCATTGTTGTTGCTGTTGGTGCCACTGTTGTTATTGTTCTTATTCAAAGCAGAGTTTTGCTGCTCACCCCTCGGAACTGCCTTTTTCACCTCCACCTAAATTCACACAAAATCAAACAAAAAAGAAACAAGATTTAAAAAAACAAAAATATAAAAACCCAAAAAAGATAGCCCTAAATTCCTTTTGATACTTAAAGATACCTCAAATATTAAAAGACTAAATAATAGTACTAGTATTAAAAGAGCCAACAAATTAAAACATAAAAAATTATTTCCAAAAACAGTAAAAGAGGGTTTGAGGGTTAGAAAGAAGGAGAAAGGAAAGCAACAGTAAAAGAAAGTGGAATACCAAACCCAAAAGAGAGAGAGAGAGAGAGGAGAGAGAGAGAGAGAGAGAGAGAGAGAGAGAGAGAGAGAGAGAGAGAGAGAGAGTACTCTCGTACTTCGTCGTTCCGTCCGTCGAACTAACTAACTGTTCGTTTCGTTTTCGGTTAGGGTCGGTTCGTTCGTCGTCGACTAACGTAGTAGTAACTA